ACACACACACACAAAAAAAAAAAAAGGCATCCGGCAGCTCCTCGCTAGCGTCGCTAGCGATGTGCAATCCATGCTGCTGAAACCGAAGTCGATCAGCTTCAGATGGGTGCTGCCGACCCTGAGCGCACTGAGATCTCCAGTAGTATAGTATAATATAGCTACTACCATCATCTACCTGTATCTAGATCTGGTGTGATATTCGTGGAATGTCTCTCCCTTTTCCTGCAGTAACTCACCCAGGTGCCGCTTCGACGCCGCCAAAAGATCGCTCGCACAACGAGATCTAGCTCCCCGCAAGACTTTCTGCTCGAAAGCTCAGGCGAAGCTGAGTTCTTGCAGCTGTGGCACTCGGTGTACAGGAAGTTTTCCTGATGGTGCTCCAAGATTTGAAGAAATCCGTAAATGTAAGGGCATCATTATAATCTAGACCTTTCAGATCGTAGCAACATCACGAGAGGCCGAGACACAAGCTTGATGTCCCGGTGGACAATGCCTCATTTTGCAAATCATAAGAAAGCCAACCGTGCAGATTCAAGGCTCGGGTGGGCTGCCGGCCTCACTTCTCTTTTTGACTCTGGCAACTAACGACTCGTGCCCAAATTGCAGGCAAATCACCAAGGTTGTGCAGGTATCGTATGGCGAGCAGCATCTGGTATGCTGCATCTGCTGCATCCTTTTCCTCAGGAGCAGCAACCTAGCTCAACTAGATACCCATGAAAAGGCCCGGGTCCGACACAAGCACGAATGCACACACAAGCTCTGTGCTTGTCCAGGCGCGGCGAACTTCCCGGCGTTCACCCGCTGGTAAAGCTCGCCACCTTCCAAGCATTCCATGACCAGGTCCAAGCTCTTCTCGCTCTCGTAGACGTCGAGCAATCTGCAAACATGAGGATGGTCGACCTTCGCCGTCGGAAAGAACTTTGTCGATCAGACTCAAGAAAGCGGCAGTAGGCAGAACGCAAGGCATGAGCGGGGCTTTCGGAAATCTCGATAGATGCAGAATTCTGAGCCGCATCCTTTACATCAGTTTCAAAGCAGCAGACAAGATGCTGATAGAAAAACCTCCACTTCGGCTGCCAGTGTTCTCCTGGAGGCCTGTACTTCATCCAGGCCAGCGTGGCTTCATCAATGAAGTGCTGCCCAACCCAACATGAGTAGAAAGCAGCCGACGTTTCGGCATGTTCGCGTGTGTCGACATGTGACTGTGACGGCCAAGAGGGCACATTCGAATTGATGCCTGCTGCAGCATGGATTGACGTTAGTCCGGAACCTCAGAAATCGGCTGGCCTTGTGGTGTAACTTGATACTCTTCACAGCCTGACGAGGCAGGGACTGTTACAGAAAGTCTTCATGTCCTTCACTTCCAAGTCTTGGATTGCGAGACTTTCTTAGCGAGGCTTTGGCTCAGACCCTAACTGGAGGTCGCTGGACCTTGCACAGGAAACGCGTAACCAGCAGATCGCAGTACATGCTCTCTTTTCCGTAGTTGAAGGCCTCAAGCCTCGAATCACTTTTGACTTCGCCTTAAACCCTTCAAAACAACAAACGATGCTGCATTCCAATACCCTATGCACTCCCAGAGCACTCTTCAAAGCAAATCCAAGGCACGAAGCGGCTGGTCCGACCCTGCCGGTCCGGGCGCCGGCTGGTGGCCAACAAAACGGAGCCACCGAAGCCGGTTCCCAAGACCTCTCAGAAAATGCCACCGACAACAACCAAAAGGAACCCTCGAATTCGAGGAGAGAGGAACACTCCCCGGAACGCTAGACACGAACGAAGTCGAGTTTTTGCGAATCTGGGCCCGCGAGGAAGACTGACATCGAAGCATCTCCGACAACTGCTCCTAGCTGCTAGACTTTGGACCAGCATAGGCTTTTGCATTCGTATTCGGATACCTTTCCCGGAGCCTATGCTTGTTGCAACCTGTTGCGAACTGAACATGAAAAGCCAAGCAGCCGTGTCTGTCAGGCTGTAATCATCGGACAGCTTCCTAGGCAACTGCACAGACAGGGATGAAGCAACACACACGGCTTTCGACTTGTGTGGGACATCACGCCGCCCAGTGTACGGTGACCCGCTGGCATACCAGCCAGCCAAAAATCTGGAAAATAAAAGCGCCCTGGAATTGCAGAGATGGCCCATGACATGACATGTCGTCTCCTGGGCAGCCGATGGTAGCGCCCGCTGACCTGCAGTGTGCCAACTCGCTCCTCCGCCCTTTTCCGAGCATCCTGCCAGCCGTGAGCGGGGCTTAAGAGAATAAGGATGAAAAGGTGGAAACAATTGAAATCTATTTCTGCTTGTTGTGGGTTCTGGTGTGTATCCTCTCAACCCTATACATGGCATAACTACGAAGGCGATCAATGCCCCCAATGCGGACCAACACAAGCGAAGCCGAAGCAGCAGCGTACCATCAGACGCAGAAGCAGCAGCAGCCGCAGCAGCCGCTGCCGCTGCCGCTGCCGCTGCCGCTGCCGCTGCCGCTGCCGCTGCGGCTGCTGCTGCTGCTGCTGCTGCTGCTGCTGCTGCGGCGTTGTTGTTGCTGTTGCTGTTGCCGAAGCTGTTATTGTTGTTGCCGTTGCTGCTTCTGGTTGTTATTTTGTTGTCATTGTTGTTGCTATTGTTGCTATTGTTGCTGTTCTGCTTGGCCTGGTGCGTTTCTTGTTGCTATTTGTATTGTCATTATTGGTGTTCTTTGTTCTTGATGTTCTGCTTGTTGTTCATACTGTTGATATTATTGAAAAGATAAGGCTAGGCACTAGCATGGACGCCAACCTCATCACAAACGCCATCCGAACATGTCACACACACACACACTTGGTCAAGTCTGCAACACGCGGTCTCCTTCAGAGCATCTTTGCTGCTTGTTCCGCCCATGGCGCTTGCTACGAAGGCATTTGCTTGAAGGCAGGCGTCAACCCTGCTGACTTTACATGTCAAACATCCCCCACTACTCTGAGTCTGCTCCTGGGCTTCCAGACGTATCCCACTCACATCCACTCACATCCACATCCTTGTTTTGCCGGACACATTCCCTCCACGCATGCCTGAACATCCTGCTCCGGAACCGACTGGGCCAAATGCGCCGAAACGCGCCCTTACGCAGATGCGAAGACTACAGCAAGGAAACGCAGCGGCTCGAAGAGCTTGGAGTCCAACCCTCGATGCGCGTGGCACGAAACGGTACTGTGTGTGGTGCTGGAAGTTCCGCTTCTAAGCCCCTGCCAACAGTCAGAATCGGGAGGGCTGAGCTTGGGGCCAGCATTTTCGAGCCTCGGTCCACGTGGCACAGGAGTGGCTTTGCATAGCTTCAGGTGCCAGGATGGCGTGGCCCAGCCTTGTCCCCTTGTCCGGCAAACCATGAAACTTGAAGGAACTCCGGGAATGGTCACTTCTTGTCCAATCTACTGGATCCGTCCTTCAGTGTCTTTCCTGCTCTGGCTTCTGGCCCACTGGCACCAATGAGCCCGTGCATGGACGACTGCAGTCTTGAGCCCTGACCTTTTCCCAAACCCATAGCGGAACGATGGACAACTGAGGCCACTGCTTGACGACAGCCCCTGGACCTGCCACAAAGATCTGGTCCTACTGGCCAAGCTGGCTCCTCTGCACGGCCCTACCTGGTGCCCCTGCAACTTTATCCCTGTGCGGAGCCACGCACTGCAAGATTTCGAACATAGAAGTCGCTGACCTCGTTCCCGCAGCATCTCCGCAGGAAGACTGCTAGCTGCTCCGGAAAGGACCTGTGGTAAGTCACGAAGCATGGCCGGAAGTTGCGAAGGAGTCTCTGCCTAGCAAAGAACGCATGGAGTGCTGCTGCCATTGTGCTCGTCAACTCCTTCCGACTCCTACTACGGAACGTGAACGAGAAGCCGAACTGCACGCAGAACATGGCAAAACGGCTGGTTCAGGCTCGGGCTGGAAATCTACGAGAAGGCGCTGCTCGGCCCTGGCCAGGCAAGCCCATGCTCTGGTCTTGCACATCACCGCGTTGAACTTTTGTACTACATACTGCATGACAGGTCCTTTCCAAGACCCGTATGGATCTTTATAGGGTACGCATAGGAAGGTTCTCCGAGGTACCGACGCACCTAGCTACCCGTGCAGTCTCAACGTAACAAAGACGATACGAGTATTTCGACAGGAGCCACCCATGCGATGGAATGAACGTTCGCTCCCAATCCATGCATGTTCGTCTGGAGACCCAGCCATCCATGGCAGCAAGGGGCAGAGACCGTGTGACTGAGACGCTCCGAACAGGTTGGCCGAGAACCAAGTGCCCTGCACGTTACCTGTGCCGCTTTGAGGTAAAGCAGCCGTTCTTCGGTTGCAAATGTTTTGTAACTTTGAACTGTTTGCTGACAAGACAGGAGCTCGGTACCTGTAACCTTGGCCAGTGCAAAGACGACGACCACCGGCAGCAGCAGCGATGATGATGGCGGTGCTGGTGATGATTAGAAGCCACAAAAGCCCAGAGCCATCTGCCTCAGGGCACTGTAATCACCTTCTCCAAGCACCAGACCTGCACTCACTCCGAGAGTTCTGGCGAGCAAGTGTTCGCAGCAGGTCTATTATGAACAGTCAGCTTCTTGAGTTTGGCGTTGGACGATCCTCGATGCTGACTATTTGCAAACGGAACATTCGCACAGTCAGTCAACTTTACATTACCACATGGGTTTCAGCTATGAGCGTCAAAGTTACTCTGGGTTGGTTATCAAGGCTGCTTGTCAACGACTGCCGGCTTCCACCCAAGGCCAGGGCTGTGGTAGAACAACAGGTCCTGGGCCATGACGCGGGCGGGTAGCTTTTTTTGCATTGCAGCGCACACCCAGCACACAAGCGAGTAAGCAGACGTATGAAGAACCTCCGAGGTGATGCATTGCTCAGAAGCGCGCATTCTCGTCGGTCAGCTCGAGCAATAAATTGCGGGGATGGGCCGGGTTGTCTGGCCTTCAGCAAGCCCGCAAGGCCACGTAGACTGAAGACATGCTGCAGGCCACCAGGAAGGACTTCAAAATTCAGTTTTGTCAAACTTACAACTAGGCTCGAACTCGCTCGGAGCCTGGCCGTAGGCAGACAGTCAAATGGGCCTGGGACGGGTCGTCGATTGCAGTCTTAGCATCTCCCCTGTCGCAGGTTTTTTTTTTGCCTCCTACATGGCTGAGCGAGTCGCGAAGTAGGGTACAAGCTTATGACGGGTAAATGTTTGACAAGCAAAGTTACCCAACAGAGCCT